CAATAATTCTAATTTGATTTAATTATAAAGCATTGATCCTTTGTATCAAAAATTGGTTTTATTTCTATTTATATAGTCATTCCTTCTATTTTCATTAATTTATAATTAATTTTATTTATAGAAGTAGAAAAAATAAGAACGGTGTTATTCTACCTTCTCCATACATATTATGGAATATATTTAATTTAATTTGTAATATATTTTTCAAATGAATAAAAGTCCTAATATTTAAACATTCATTTCATTATCTTTTATTGTTTTTGAATTATGAATATTAGATTTAGATTTTTAAAATAATACAAATTATCACTTTTAATATATGAAACAACAATTCTATAATAATTATTATTATAATAGTGTTAGAGATAAGGGTTTAGGAGAGTTAATTCTTGTGCTTATTTTGAATAGAAATTTATATGTTGTTTAGCCAATATTCTACCGATAATTTTGTTATATAACAAATTTTCAAAGGCAGTTTAAGTTTGGCCTATTGTAATTTTATAAGATTCATTGATTTTAGATTCCTTTGTACTATTGAGATATTTAACATAATTAATATGAAGAGAAAGCTAGTCTTAAATTTTATAGTAAAGAAAGCAAATAAATCTTTGCGTCATTAAAATATTTTGTAGTAGCGTTGAAAGTTGTTGTGTTTAGGTTATTGATAAAAAACTTGTAAATATAGAAACATATGATTATTAATTAACAGAATAAGATTATTTATTAATAAAAGAATCATTATTATATTTTAATATTAGAGATGCTGTATATAAAGAAATTAAATATATTGTAGTACAGGAATTTCATTTATTAAATGTTACCTTAATTAGCATCAGCTACTAATAATCCAAATAAATGAACTATTATTTTCTTATGTTTGTTACCTGAATTTATATTTAATTAAAATGAGGCAAAGTAAAAGAAACACTTCTAGAAAGCGAATAAAATTGGAGGATAGGTATAATCGATATCTATTTATGAACTTTAATCTTTATTTTAAGATAATGCATAATATATTTATGATAATTTATAGCATATTATTATGAGCCATTCAAAAAAAGTAATTTAAAAAACAAATCTATATTATAATTAAGAAATATTAAGAAAACTTCTTCAAGGTATTTATTTTTTAGAAATTATTATTAATGATATTACAATGAGAGTAACTGGTTATTTTGAAAAATATAATTTAGAACCTTCTGTGGTTTTAGTTTTACATTATCATAAAGTTAAAAAGGAATCTTATTAAAAAAGTGAACCAAATTAAACCTATGAGTTAAGAAATTGGAGTAAGTAGAAATTCAATGTTAATATTACAATTTAAGGGATTTTAATCATAAGCATTAAAAAGTATGTATATTCCAAAAAAAGAGCATCATTTTGTTGTATTGATAGTTTTGTTTAGGCTATGGAGGGTGTTTCTAATTAATTAATTTAGATATGATGAATCTGATAAAAAAATATGATATTGTATAAAATATAGTTTAGTAACTAATGAATGGAAAATAATTAATCCTTTAAAAAAATAAAAGTGTGCATATGTAAAAGAAAATCTAAGGAAAGTTTTAGATGTTAAAGTTAAATAAGGATTTAGTAATCCAGCTGCTATTTTATGTGAAGATAAGAAGATTTAAGATATAAATTATTATTTTTAATAATAATTTATTTGCTTATGGAAGTAATAATTAATTTATAGAAAAATATTCATTATTTTGAATAAGTTTAGTGAATTTTAAGTAAATTAATATTATAATTTATTTTAAGGAGCTATGATTTATTAGTTCAAGTAATTTATATTCATGGTGCAGTACTTTAACTTTAGAAATCAATAATTTCTGCTTCTATCTCAAACTTATTATACACATCATTAATAATATAATAGTAAGTATTTATTGGTTTTCAAAGTAAGTTACCACTAGTATATTTACGTAATACCTTGATTATTTATATTATCATT